TGACTTAAAAAACAACTGGTTGTTTCCATGCAAGTCTTCTTCAGTTAAGAGCGCTCTTGCTGCTCCTCCCCAAGCACGGTACTTGCGTTTTGCACTATTGCATTTTGTCCTGGTTTTATTACTCCAAATACCACTAGCTGACTCCTGCCTCAGTCATTCATGACAAGATCATGTAAAGTCAACCCAAAGCCAGCTAATAACCTGTCTCCACGGTGGTTCTCATTTCATCCTGAGTGTTTTGTCTTTCCACGATTTGCCAGCTCTTTCACCTAGCTCGCAATTCTTGAATTGATTTCCAGCTTCTATAGTTCATCTAGTCATTTCCTTTTAGCATGGAATTAAACACTTTATGAAATTCCAAATAAATCAGGTGTAACCCATTTACATTTGTTCTTGGCCAAACTAAGTTAACTTCTTTTTTTCGTGCTGTTGATTTCTGCAGGTGATCTGGAGTACTTGGAGGATTTCCTTTCAACGTAGTCAAGAGAAGGTTTTCCCAAAGGAGGTGAAGAAACTCCATACAAATTTTTTGCTGGATCAGCAGTTACAGAGCAAGTTGTACACTAGAAAACAAACAATGTCTTAGAAGTCCTCTCAGCCCTAGTGAATAAGAAGTTTTTGTGTTCTATGGTTAAACTTTTTTTTTTCTAACTTAAGAATTTTTTTCTCTACATCTAGGGATATAATTTGATTTATGAAATCATGCTAAAATGTCATGAGTTTCCCCCGTTTCAGTTAATATTATTGTGGGAGATGCTTGCATATAGTTTGCAGGTCTTTTTTGTTTAAGCAAAATGTAAAGAATTATCATATTTACCTGTGAAGTTCCTCTCAGTGAAAATTTCAACAACTCAAAAGCATGGAGTATAATCATATAAGACAGCTATTTTATTTCATTTCATTCTTTCCTTTAGGCCTCTGAATTACTTCTGGAATTGCCTTTTTGTTCTTCTTATTATATGTTAATGACTGTAATGAATAGAGCAGTAAAGCTGTTACTTAACACTGTAGCTATGGAGAAATTTCAGGTCATTGGATATCTTAAATACCCACTGAATACATTTCTAGCCTATGTAATACATTTCCAGGTGTTTTCTTCTTAGATATTTGATCTTTAAATAAGGAACTGAAATGTTTTTCAGTCTTCAAGAAGTTCACGAACTTCCATGGAAAGCTCAAGCGGATGCAGAGAAGACAGAGCGCATTCTTTTATGTCACTTGGAAATTATCAGATAAGGTGGAATACGTTTCCCATTTGTTTCACATATTCTTTCTGTTAAAGGAAACAGAGTTATAAATAAATACTAATCACTAGAGAATTTTAAGTTTCTCCTCTCATCATTTAAGACTCAGTCAGCTCCACCAACTTGGTAGTCACATTTCCAGCTGATTTTTAACATTCTATGTAACACCAAGTTGGGGAGTACTAAATTAGTTTGGGTTTGTTCGTTTTTTTCCTTTTTTAAGCATGCTTTATTTTGGAGTTTGATATAATTTTTTTACATAGTCAGTGGGTTTTGTCCTGTAACAATTCACACCTTTGTTTGGGCCCTTCAAGACTAACTCTGCAAATAGAGAGGTTAGCAGAGAAACTGCTGGCAGCTCGGAGTGCGGTGTTGGTTTCCCACGGCTGCGGAGACGAACCACCGACCTCCACAGGCTCTCTGGAAACAACTTACAGACATTTGATTTGAAATGAAAAGAAGCAGCAGAACGCGTTTAAAAATTGCACGTGAAGTTGTCAGTACGATGTTTTGGAGTTGCATAAGTTTCTCTTTACAACTGCGACAGGCACAAATGCAGGTTTTTTTACTGAGTATTTACATTCCACACCAGTTTCCTGTAAGACAATGGTTCGTGACAGACTGGAGCCCAATTCCAGTTTGACAGGCAGGGTGATCTCCATATCGCTAAACGTCGATGACCTCAGGACTCAGTAAGAAACAGGGCAACAGACATTCAGGGAAGCCATCAAGCTGGTGAAGTTTTTTATTAAATTTAGAGCATTCCATTTTAAAAGTGAGCAAACAGATGGCTCTGAAGCCAGCTGCGATGTAACCAGATGCAATTCCCTTTCCTGAGGGATGCTGTATCTGCTTACAGCAAAGCCGAATTTGCAAAACAAAGTTACTATTGTGGCAATAAAGCCCTCGCTGTGCACCACGCTGAGTTTGCACAAAGACAGGCTGTGAGCCTGCATTGATTTGGTGTCAGCGGGAGAAGCGCAGAAGAAGGAGCAAGCACAGAGCAGGTGGCAGCTCCTCCCGGCCGGCCGCACCGGTGAAGGGAGCAGGCTCTGGCCCTGCTGCATCCGCGTGCAGAAGAGATCGGGGCATGGACTTGGAAAAGTATTCTGCTTCTTTGGCTGTTGTATGTCGCAGCGTTACCCTGAGGCACACGCTTATTTTGGCCCCTCAAGCACCGGTCAGCTGAGGGGTGCAGTTCTCCCTACAGATATGGCTGTACGGGTCCCCATCCCAAACCTGATCCCTGCACCCACAGGCACGGGCCGTCCTGCTGGCACTGCTCCAGACGGCCATCAGCAGAGAGAGGGGAAGCTCAGCAGGGGCGTTTTCTGTACTGGCAGGAGACATTTCTTGTCTCCTTGAGGTCATACTTTAGTGGAGTGCCTGTGGGCACCATTCCCGCCCATCCCAGGCTCCTGGGGCTCCCAGTGCTGCCTTGCTGCTCCTGTCTCTCCCAAGCTTGTCATGGCAGGTGTTGCATGGCTACAGAAACGCTCAGATCCTGCTTGGTGGTGGCTGCCACCTTCTGCTGATCCTCTCGGATGTAGGAGGAATAGACGCCGGTACCTGCTGAATAACAGGTTGTCCCATCAGTTCCTTGAGTGGCATGGGAAGCCGTCAGGCAGTGCGGGCTCCTCAGGATGCAGCCGTGGGGCAGACACTGAGGAGCACTCTCCACATTCAAATCCGAATGTGCTGCATATTCCTTCCATGTGAATACGGAAGCCAAAGGCCAGGCTCTCTGCCCGCCCCATGCAGGCGGCCGCATTCACAAGGAAGCAAAATAAGTGACCAGGCTGCAGGAATCCCAGTCAGCGAGGGCACAGCAGCCTGACCTGACAGACACGGATGTTTAGAACCAGACAGTTTTTATTGAGCCGAGGTTTCGTGTCCAGTCTCTGGTAACTAGAAGAGATGGGAAATAAGAAGCCCCAAATGGAAAATCACTGCTAAGTAAACTGTGTTTAGTTATCCCCTATAGTGCTACCCAGAGATACTCGCAACCTTGGCACTCAGCGAAGGTGGGGAGTAGTGTGAAAGCCACCATCACCCAAAAGGTATCAAGCTTGAGTTTGTGAGCACGTGCAAAATCGCTGCTTTTCTGGGTCCTGAGGGTCCCTCTCACAGGTGAGACCCTTTCTCCGGCCTCCCTTGGGCATGCTTGCTTTTGAGAAGACCTCACCTGGTGAAGATCTCAGCCCTGTCCGGCTCTACTGCTGGAGAACTTTCCTGGCAAGTCTCCTTCTCCTTGGACCAAGCCGGGCTCTTCCGCTGAGAGGAAAGGCTGCCCCGTGCTAACGCTGCCTGACTCAGCCAGGACGCCATGACAAAGTCCTTTCTCTGCAATCAGGATAAACTTGGCAAACAAGACAAGCTTTAGATGGAGCTAGACCCAAATGATTCTCTAACAGCAGTTCTACTTCAGCTTCAAGTCATTTTAGTTGGCAGCTCTCTTACGTAGCTTGATTTTAAAATTCTTCTCAAGTGTATTTTTAACTACTTCTGAATAATACAAAGCAGCATAGCATCTTATTAATTTTTCTAGAGTAATAGATGGAAAAATTGCAGAAGATCATGTCTCAAAATCATAGTCAAAATCTTTTGGCTTTTATTCTATTTAATGCTTAGTATCTGGGAAAATACAGTAAATAATTTTTCAGACCAGAACAATTAGATGTTATGCTTAATAATAAAATGTTCAAAGAGGATGTAAAAATAAATTAACATTTCACTATGTAGCTTCAATGACAAAGCAGGTGTCAGTTTTGGAGAACTGAGAATTTTTCAGCCATGAAAGATAAATGAATGTGTTCTGCCTTCCGTAAACACGTGGCTGTCATTGAAACCAATGGAAGCTACATATACACACACACGCATATATATATATATATGTCTGCATCAGAAGGCAGAATTTGGCTTAGATCTTACAAAATGGTAGTTTGCAGTTGACATTCATGTGTTTTGATTTTTTTAACACATAGAACACTCATGTACCGTACATTTTTCAGGTCTCGCAACTGCAACTCTTATGAAACATCAGCATATAAAAAGTCGTCACTGTACAACCAGGGTTTTTTTTAAAAGTCAGTGTCAAAACCATAAAAAACAGCTGATTTATTAAAACCAGATATATTCTTTAAGTGCTGAGGTTTGCGTTAGCTTTCTTCTCTCTTAAGCACAAGAATCTATTAAAACAGAAAGGCAAAGGTGGCTCAGACAATGACAAACTCTCTAAGAACACACTCGTAGCTTTACGAACACTTCGCTAACACGATAGTTAATTGGGAAACAACGTAAACACGATGAGGTGCGGCTACCAACGGACATTTCTCACAACTGTGCAAACTGTGGGCCTCCTCCTGCAAACACTCCGGGCTCCACAGCCTCCTCCCAGGGCTGGTCCCACCGAGCCGGACTGTAACTCCCTGCAGCAGCCCCTGCCATTTGCGGGAAGGGGTCCTGTGACCCTCCTGTCATGCACCAAACACATTTAAAGTGCCTCAGATTTCAAACTGATGCAAATCTACATTTAATTTCTTTAGACTTGAAAAGGTGAAATAGCTTCTGAAAAGTCTTCTATAAATACTCCTTTAAAACTATTAGAGTCTTTCTATTTCCAGGTAAATTAATAAAATATTGAACTGCTTTTAAATTAGGCAAATAGTGTTCACCCTGCTTTTTGTAAAAAAGCAACTAGATTCCTTTGCTGCAAGATACTTTATACGTTTCCAGTCACTTTTCCCTTTAATCTACAGAGAGTAAGAAGCAGAGCTATTATAATTTTGTTGGTGCAATTGCCTGTGGACTTCTCAAACAGCCCCATGGGTTTTTTCGTGATGACACTGAATCTGAAGTACGTCCCTTTTCACAAGTCTTTTCTCCAGTTTGTTTTATTCTGCTTCTTCGCTCTTCTCAGAACCGCCTCCAGCTGAATTATCTGCCTCGCACTTTTTATCAAGAGCATCTTCAAAGGATTTCCCACTGCACTCGTAGGTTTTACTTGTAGATCCCGTATGTGTTCGAATGCGAGCTCCTGGCTGGTATAACTGCATGGCTGGGCGATCCTAGAAGGAAGGAGATGTGATTAACGCTCTGAGAAACCTGTGCGGGATATGTATGTGGGATTTTGAAGTGATGAATGTTTGTGAAGAAAGTAGATTTTGTGTAAAATCACTTTACATTTCGTAAGACCCAGGAAAAAGATGGAGTGTAATGAAAATTGACTATTTAGTATCTGTCTTGTTTATAACACTATTCTTGGGAGCCAAGCATTCTGAATACATGAAGAAAGCTGTAAAAATTAAAGATCCTACGATACATTTGATGTAAACAAGGAGAAATACTGTAGACAATTATCAAACACAGTACTACAGGTAAAACTCTGAAAAATGTTGCCACCTTCACTAACATGGACTGGGAAGAACAATAGCCTGTGCACTTGCAACTCTGCAGATAAACGACAAATACTAAATATAATCATGAAAAAATAAGACCTGTTTAGCAGGTAACGCTAGAAAATTATCCTCAACTGAACTTGACCAATCGATGTGTGTGCACTGCTACTCCAAGCCGTGAATCACTACCACGGTTTAAGCATGGAAGGCACATTTTCATGATACATATCAAAATAAAATTGCAGTTACTGCTCTGCTTCATCACGCCTTCCATACCGAGCATGAGAGCAGGGGAATCCACCCACTGATAACGTACAGTTTGAACACACGCAGGCTTTGCGAGTGACCCAGTCACACACATACTGATTTGATCACTGGAAAATGGAAGCAGGAACCAGTTTACAAGGAAAAGACACCTCAAACTTGCCAATGCTTGAGAGCACTTTTTATTCTTGAAATTTCAATAATAAAAGACACTGCTTAGAAACTCTGCTTAAGAAGTCTTTTCCTAGTAAGAGTATTTTAGTCCCACAAATACCAGTTTTTAATGTTATGAAGCAAACCATTCACCAAAACCTGAGCATTTTGACCAAGGTCTTGTGTTGAGTTTAGCAAACAAAATTAATCAGCCTATTTTAAGACAGTGGCAGAGCACTGAAATTGTCCTACATCCAACTATATTAATTTTCAATTGCCTTCATAATTCGAAGCCATTCTGGTCTTTCGTTCTTTCATTCTTTTTTCTTACTCTCAATATGCATTTTCTCTTTTTCATTCTTTTTCCTTCACCTTTGTCTTTTTTGTTCCACTTTTCTCTCTCCCTCTTTAGACCAGATATCAAGATTCACTGTTGGGACAGACAACTAAAGCATTCTAGTTAATGCTTTGTAGTGTGGTATGAAATGCATAACACACATCTTTCTACATCACAAACAGCTGCATAAAACCAGATCCTCTCACCAGCAGTGCTTTTTGGGAAGTTTATGATAAAAGGTCTAAATGATCTTTCATATCACAGACGCTGTACTCCACAGGTTGCATGAAAGCTAGCACAACTGTTACTTACACCAGAAATTTCCCGTTTTCTAATTAATTCGTACAAGCTATCTCTGTTTAAAAACTGTGTTGACATTTTTAGTTGTATAGGTAACCTGGAAAGCTTAGCCCCTCACTCTCATCTACGTGATAAATACTCTAAGGAAAAAGTCACCACACTACAAAAAACTTTACTGCTATTGCTTATTCTGTTTAGGGGACAAATCTAGCATCCAAAGTGTGGACTAATCCAGAGACTCAGCAAGCTACCAGAAGCGCAACAGGAAGAAAGAAAAAGGAGGTGGCTTCTGAACGCTTGACAAAAGGCTGCCAAGACCCACCATCCAGTTCCAAGGTTGCAGATACTTCACCAGATTTCAAGAGTAGCGTGGCAAGCACAAGGAAAATTGCTTTTCCCATCTTCCTGTTCCTGATCTAGCCACTCTTCTGACTGTTCTACAGCTTGAGCCGCTGGTGTGTGTGGAAAGTGGCTACTGTGTGCATGCAGACAAACCTCACCCACGCTGCCCAGCTGACCTGCGCATAAACAAGAAACGGGGCACGCCAGGCTTTCTGTGTTTGCGCAAGGCGACTTCCTCAACATGCAGCGAGTCCCCCTGCACTTGCTCTACGCACACTCCACGCAGACTCACTCTGCACATGACCAGTTCTCTCCGTGTCAGCCTTAGCACACACCACAGATCAGCCACTTGGTTTGAAAGAAGAGTTCCACATGCAGAACAAATTTCTACACAAAACAGTGTTTCGGTCATCTTTTGTGGAAAATCTAGGATCAGAAGGGAGAGAGAATGAGGATGACAAGGAGAGCCACCTCCTGAAAAGACCCTGGCACATCCATGAAATCAGATGGTCTGAGAAAAATGATGCTCATGTCTCTGGGAGACAATGAGGGATGGCTCTACTACACACTCTGCTACGGGCCCCGCTTGCCCTGGTTTTGCACCTGCTCCTTCCCTGACAACAACCATATGGATAATTTGTCCTAACCAAACGACAGACTTTTCATACTGGTGGGTATACAATACCGAAGAATTTGCACATTCATACCCTCTAAATCCCATACTCTCTGACTCAGCTATTTATTTAAGTCCTTACAGTTCCTCGACCGAGCAATGCCTGGTCAATCCATAATGAGCTGGGTAATGGAAGTACATTTTTAAAAGACTGCATGCCACGGTTTTTAAATTTCATTACAGATCAGAAGTATAATGATTTTTCATACACTCATAAAATACAAGGCTTCCAAGAATAGTGTTCCAAAAATGCTACGGTTGAAAGGAAGACAGAAAGCCTCCTGCATATTGTAAGTATGAACAAGCAGAGACCTGTGACCTTATTTTAACTGCTGTTGTCCTCTGATAACAACAGAAAGAAGTTTGGGTTTTACTGAAAATGAAATAAAGGATTGCTTTTTTTGAAAAAGCATCTTTATGCTCAGTTTGCAAAAGTAAAACCTGTGATCTTGAAGCATATTTAGCTAATGAAAGATTATCCTAAATGAATAAAAGAACCTTATTTCTTATGCGCTCCTTTTTGGATGCCATGTCATCACACTTGTCCTCTTTACCCAGTTTGTCTACTGCCTCCACAGTGAAGCTGTAGTTGTAGTTCCCTTTCTTTCCTCTGTCTTGGTTGTATCCTTTCCCCCATTTCAGCTCTTCTTCACTCCTTCTCACAAACTTGTCAAACTCATAGTGAGCTCTATGCTTTCTGCCATCATCCAATCGATACCTTTGTCTTTCAGGTTCTTTTTCTCGAAATCTTCTCTCCAAATCTCTTTGCTCTTTGTCACTATCATTTTGTGACCTATGAGTATGTATAAAAAGAAAGAAAATTCATGCAATTAACAGTAAAAAGAAAAAGCTGTTGAAGGACACAGTGCAAAGCCTCCCTTTGACTCCAACAGTATTTAGATCAGTTGTATGGCAAGGCTGTTTTTTTCTCGATAAAAAGGGACTATGTGCAATTTTGCCGAATGTCTCATCTGTGTATGTCTGGCCACTGACTATGCATTCAGTTCGAAACAGCAGAAAAAGCTTTGCAAGCAAAATCTCACTTCTATGCAACTGTTGTGGAAGGGTCGTTCTTCAACTTTTATCCCTCTTTGCAATCCCATAAATAGTTCCCTAACACTTTTACATAGACTCATGCTGCATGGTTAGGTCTTGTGGCCTGTTCTCCAGAAGGCTCATGTATATCAGCAGTCCCTTGAATGGGAACATTCAGGGGCCGAAGGAATTGTGCAGGTATCATGTATCAATTTGGTTTATGACTCTATTTAACTAAAAACGTTCACTGACACTGCGACTTGTGGAAGGCACGTGTGAAAATGAATACTTATGTTCCAGGCTTTTGTTTGTTATGTCTCCAAGTAATTTAGCCTACCTTTGCACATCTTATCTGGGTGAAAGACCATTACCTTACCACAACATAATACTGAATTTCTGCTATGCTGCAACAGGTTCATATTATAAATACTATCAGTTTGCAACATTTTGCTGCCTGTCTGATACAATCCACTTCACTGTTCCTGTTCAGCAAGTGTTTTATGTTCTCATAAAGCAAAACTGCAAATAACAAAGAAAGATTACAGAATAGATTGAACTTTAAAAGAAGCAAATATCGGTAGTTTCTTTTTATATATTTCGTATGTATAAATACTTAAAATTGAAACAGTAAAGTTGCTTTTGACGGTCTGCTCACATTTTGGGAATCAGCAGGCAATCAGAAAGGATGGAGATTTTCTGATGGCGCAGTGATCAAACAGCGATATGCTTCTCGTTTAGAACAGTTTAATATGAATAAAAGTGTATCTTTCTGCACCACCTTTTTCTTTTTTAAAACAACAGATCTGTGAAAATTGTCAGCCTTTGCCATGAGCTTGGGCATTGGCAGGACTGCCAAGGCAGGGGCCTCATTTCAGGAGGAGCCGGAGGTCAGCAACAAAACCTGATTGACAGGTAAGTTGTTCAGCATTTGGCAAGATTGTGCTTGCGTCAGCATAACAAATTCACCAAGTGGAAACAACATCCCAGCTGTCACAGACACCTGAATCCCAATTACAGAGATATTATACCTGTAGCATAGATGCATATATATAAAATATATGTCAGTTCTCAAGGGTTATGTGGCTATAGGCTGTTTTGCTTCAGGTTTAATATGCTATTCTAGACACTAACTCCGAGTCTTAGCAAGGCTTTGAAACATGATTTTCCAAGAAGCCAGAAAGACACATCTAGATCTGCTGCTGTAGCATTGCCTGGTACCTGTCTCTTCCTCTGCCTGTTACTGTGGATGAGGAAGGAATGAACGTGCCTGGAGGCAGGCAGCTGACAGGGATACAAACTCCAGTTCAAGAGTTGTTAAAGCAGCTTTCTAAAGGCTTCTAAAGGCTTCTAAAGGTTTTCCAAAACTTTTTCACAGTGAACAGGCAAGCAAGAGCAGGAACAGTGGGACAGGCAATAACGTAATTACAAAGAGAAAGTAGAAGACAAAGTTACGCAGCCAGCAAAAAGAAAGCAGACATGAATGGAAGTAAAGGGAATGGAAGCACACTTCTGTTTGGTATAGTTCCAACTCCATATGTGACCACGTGCACTCATGCACCTACTGAGGTTTTCACTCACTGTAGAAAGCTATTGCTACTGAGCCTTAAAACACAGTTTCCAACCGGCAATTCAGTCTCCTGCATGTAGAGTTGGAAGTTACAGTTTATTCGGTCAGTGACAAAGTAGCTAAAATTTCAATTCTGAATCCAGCTGAAACAGCTCATAGTTTGCTACCTAATCAACCCCACTAATAATCATGATGAAATGAGCACTTAGAAAGACAAGGTAACACTTACTGTACCTGTGCAGCCAAAAGGATTCTGATTTACACCTGGAAAATCTATATTAATGCCTTATTAAGCTTACAAGATCAGTATTAAAAATGCTACATGGCACCACCAAAAGCTTAGTACATACAAAGCCTTATTAGCAAACAACTGACTTGCTCCTGCAACTGTTTCTGTTTACCCTGTTCCGTATTTCCTTTGTTGAAGAACATCAACAAAGGCGTTGAGTATTTTCAATTTCTGCTAGAGAAGAGGCAAAAGGAAGTTTTCAGCATCTTTCAGGACATTCTCAACATAATAAACACTGAGGCCATGTTTGAAGTCCTTAGAGACAAAAAAAAAAGAATAATCCAAGTAGGATATTATTAGCAAACCATTCCTTCAATTAGCAAATTCAGCAGGTTTATTTTCCAAGTGTTCGAAGTGTCTTTGTTTCTCTGTCTGCCATTAGGAGAACGTTTGCAGCTCCTGCAGACTTCTCATAAAAACCAAGAATCTAAGTGGACAAAGGTAAAATTTAAACTACTCAGAGTAGGCAGGTAGCCTGCACAGCTCCTAGAGCACAATCTCAAACTTCCTCTAATATTTTGTATATAATACCTTACGCAAACTATTTAATACTCAAGTTTCTCCATACGTACAAGTTGCACATATACATGACATCTCAGATTCAGCTCTTTCTTTTTGCAAAGTACTTTTGAGAGCCTGGCTGAAAAACTCTATTGAAAAACAAAGCATTATTTATCTCAGCAGCATATTATTTTTAGGTATGTATCTTGCATATTTTATGGGTGAATCCTGCTTGCAATGGGACATGCATGACAAAGAACAAGAGAGAGAATCAGCTGCTGAACACATTTGTAAGACACTTCTAGGCTACAGTAATCACAGACCTCGGCTACTATTGTCTTGTTGCTACTATTACACATGCAACACAAAAGGCAGTGGGAGGCAGAGACAAACTTCTGCACATATCCATCATAAGGCTGTCATTCACACCTTAGCTGTTCTGCCATTGTCCCATTTCTCAAACACATTTATCTCTTTATTGCAGCAAAAATGAAGGAAGTGTGATGGAAAAGGAGGGCATCCTAGCCAATTTAGTCTTTGGCATCAGTAATGGAAGGAGGGCCTTACCTGAGCTCCTGATGGGGAACAGGTGAAATAACAATGAAACGCTGAATGACTTTCTATGAAGAAATCCTTCCAATCTGGGATTTCAAAACATTTCACAAATAACAAATTGCATCCACTAATATTGCCATCAGGTCAATAAGCTGCTACTAAACACCTTTTACAAAAAGGACAGTCAGAGATTTGTTCACACACAGAACGAAATCAGTTCCTTGCTGACAAAACAGCCAGCCAATGCACCACTCATATCATGTTTAAGCCTTCAAATGAAAACATTTAGGATCTAACTTGGTGCCTAAAATGTAAGTATTACTTACTTTTCCTTAAGTTCTTTTAGTGAACCATCCAATGACTTGGATTTTATACTCCCAGATCCAGGTGACTTATCCCATTTGTTTTCTTCAATGTCAGCTTCTTCACCTTTTTCTTTGTGCTTTTCACTGGCCAGCTCATCTCCTTTTTCAGGCTTCTTAAGAAGCTATGAAATATTTGTTTATGATGTAAAATTATTCTCTGTTGCAATAAACATTTTAGCAATACATTAAATATATCAAAAACCTATTAAGACTGAAGATATTCAAATGCTACAAACACATTTTACAAAGTATAAAATTAAAAAAGTTATTTAAAGAGGGCAGTTTACTTTTGCTAAGGAGCGACAATCACTAACAGGCATTCAACTGCAGACTTTTAAATATGCTGAGAATACTGGAGAAAGCACTTACCTACTCTTCTCTCCTAAGTTTTATATATAAAGATATTATTATGGTCTACAATTTCTTAGAAATCATATAACAGACCTCAGTGTTATTGCCAATAAAATAAAAAGCAGAACCTCTAAGACAAAAAGCAGGATTAATACTTCACTCCATGAAATATTATATATGAAATGTGTGACACATGAACTACTTAGGACAGACCGGCATATAGAAAGAGGTGCTTAATATAAGTACACACTGACGGAAACACAGACTGATGAAAAAATCATGTTAGCAGAAAAGATCACATTGCATTTTCACCTTGGAGATTAAGATTTCTAAGAAGTCTGTCCCTTTCGAACCAAATAAGCCATGCAGGGTTTGAGTAGCGTCTAGCTTTACAGCAATAATCTTTATAGAAGGACCAACTGCCTCAAATTATTTCGCTAACATTTAAAGAACAAGCAGACCATCTCATCAGTCTTTTAATTCCACCAGTTCTTCCAAAGTAAGCACAAGTTATTCTTCTCCAATATTTAAAACTTGTATGATGTTTCTCTCAGGTAATATTATCCTTTTCTTTCGGAGACAGAACTAGCTTTCAAGGTCACATTGCCACAGGTATGTCAAAAACGCTGGGATCTTTTGGATAACCAATTTGGGGTGATACAGTTTAAGGAATACATCTATTTTCTTCTGAAGTTCTAGAATGTTTTTCTTTATGCCCAAATATGAAAAATCTGTAATTCAGCTTCAGAACTTACTTTTTTTATACATCCAGGTGAAGGCACATGTTGTCCAGGAAGAAAAGGAAGAGGGAAGAAGCACACAGCTCTGTGGCTTCTCCCCACAAGATATGGAGTGAGTCTGTGTGCCCTTGCGTTAAGCTACAGACTCTTATACCAACTTTACTCTTCAAAACAGCCTATAAAATCTTTCCAATACCACAAAATTTAGTTCAGATGAATAGTTTTTATCTATGTCACCTTATACAAATAAGGTTTTAAATGTCCAGACTTAGGAGCACAAAATACACCTCCCCAATTAAAATCATTAAAAGCACATGCATTCAGAACGTTACAAGGCAGCACAGCCTGAAATCAGCAAGACTAATAACTTATAACTTGGTTAAAGCACATTATCAAAATAAATAGTTCTAAGCATAAACATAAAAAACTCTCTGCACATGGCTAGATGAAGATTTAAATGGCAGAAAGTGATAAAGCCATATTTGCAACGATCTTCCAACTTGTTAGCACAGAACAATTTGGTTCTGTCAGGTTAAGTTGACACAGAATGTGGCAGGGTTTGTATAAAAGTATCTGAGTTGCCTGCCATAACTGCATCATTGTACCTAAGGTAATTAGTCACACTTTTCAATAATGCTACTTAAGTCAAAGACCTAAATTACCTCCCTTTCCAGTCGAAACTGGTTTGGTATCTCCATACTGTACTGGTTTGGTATCTCCATACTGTACCGTAGTACACTGCATGAACAGTGTAAGTGAGATACCACAGGACTTCTGGATAACTTAACAGGAAAAGTTTTTTTTTTCATTAAGATACCTTGATTCTTATTTCTTTTTCAGAAATCTTCTTTTGCTTCTCCACTTCTTTTCTTTTACGTCTTTCTTCTTCTCTGCGCTTCCTTTTCTCTTCCTCCCGCAGACGTTTCTTCTCCAATTCTCTCCGCCTTCGTTCTTCTCTTTTCTCTTCTCGTATTCTCTGAAGAGTTCAGAACGATTAATTGTAAATTGTCCAACGGAAAACCACGTGAAACATAAATGTTGAACTTCAGGCAAAAGTCTGAACGTACCTGCTTTTCTAATTTTCTATTTTTAATATATTCCAAAAGGGGTGTTGTTCTTCTAGCTAAAACACAAAAAATTTGTGATATAGTGTTCAACTCCTAAAATATGTACTCATTTCTTTACTTTAGTACTAACCCCTTTTTTCTAGCTTTCTCTTCAAGGGAGCTAAATAATTAACAAACCTATTTGCTTTATATATTTTCGAAAGCATTCCCATCATTCTGTTTTAGAAACACTTTGTTGCTTTTTTGCTGCTAGGATTAGAAGCAACAGATATGCTGCATGATTATTCAATGTTTAATTAAAAATTGTATCTTTTCAGTTCAGAGAATGGCTTTTTTCTCTTGCTTATCAAATGGTTATTCACCAAAAAGGACAGAAACGCGTTCAGAATCTATTCCTACACTTCAATTTTTCACATCAAAACCTAGCTATATTGCTGTTCATATACAGATCACATTGTTGTAAGCTCATATAGCATTTTTAAATCCCAGATTTCAAAGTACATAATGAAGGAAACATTTTCATTCTCATATAACATTTTCATTTAACATCAATTAGCATTCACTTCTCCATGGTAAAATGGGATGAACAAGCGTTAAGTGGTTTGTCCCAGGTTATACAGCAAAGTATCAGCAGATTCAATAAAACTCTAGTTTCTCAAATAACAAATAAAATGCCTCATCTACTGGATCACACAGCCATTCTTATGTTACAGAGCTGTCTCCCCACTCTGAAATCTAGCCTAAGCCACCTGCCTGAACCATCTCCGAATCCTACAAAACTTGGAGACCACAATGGAATTCTGTATCATACACAGCACTCATGACTATCAGCACTGAATTCAAACTTCACATACATCATCTGTGAGTAGTTACAACAAATTCTGTCAACCTTAGATGTCTCAGGATAGAGTTACAGAAAATATTTACCACTAGAAAGAATTTACAATTATTTATAGGACTCTTCATCAAACCAGAAGAAAATTTCACTATTGGAATGCATGACAGGATTTAGAAGAAACAATGAAAGAAATTTTAAAAATCTTCATTAAATTTAAAATGGCATAGCCAAAATCTAGACAAAATTCATATCTCCAAAACAGCTGAATGTTTTTGTCTTGAAAGTCTAAACGTCCTGCTAGCAACCCATTCGTTAATGATAAAATCTTGTTACATAGTTATGAATGGGAAGGCTTGATAAGAGTCAATATTTATTTTTGGGAAATATCACGGGTCAAAAGCACGAACCAAATAAGGTTGCTGATTTGAAATCTTCCTCCCTCAATCTCTAGACTTCCCGTGCTGCCTTTCTCCCTATCCTCTACTTTTTGACAAATTTTAGGTCCTCAGCACCCTCCCTACCAGTCCCTCAGATCCACAGCTCTGACTGTCTCTCCTACTCCCCTAAGTTCCACTGAGTAATGTCCATCTCTTGGCACTTTTACATGGTGAAAGTGGCCACAAATTGTAACTGGAAGGTCTGGGGTAAGGAAAAGCCACATTTGGAGTCCAGAACTTGACCTTAGTCACGACTAAGCCTGTGGTGGAAGAGGTTTAGTAAGAAATTATAACCTGAAGTTCAAAGACGAGAGGCAATGTGATGAGTACTATCAAAAAAGGAGAGCAAAAAAGAGTGTCAAACTTTAACCTTACCTATCTTATTTATGGGCCTTACTGCAAATAAAAATCTAAGAGGCTTTTCTTAAATGTTTAAGAAATTTTAAAAGAAAATAAACTAAAAAATGAAGATCATAACTTTTATATTTTATCTTGCTCTCTACAAACAAGCCAGAAGACTGAGCTTACCTTCATCTTGTTATAGAGAAAATCTCTTTTTATACCTCTCTGTCACACTGAAACTGATGAGCTAACACACCTGACGTGACGCATAAAACATGTTGGTTTTCAGTAACACTACCTGGAGAAATGCTGAGAATGTGAACGCCAATTCTGCCAACAAAGTCCTAGGTACGTCTTTCATTGACTTCAGTAGGAGTAACACCTTTGAAAGTGGACGTGAAACTAAACCCTTACATAATTTTGCTGTACACATGCTAACCATGGAAACAACCTTCATTTTTATATCGATAGCAATGGTCACAGTTTTGAATAGCAGAAAGAATACAGCAGCTAATTTGATTTCCTGTGATTTAACACAAACAAACATTAAAACTCCTAATGTAAAGCTGCCTTCAGTAACATTGTTACTCTGAAATCTCCAACTCTCAAGACTAATAGTTTTCATTGATAGAATATTTTAAAGTTAATAAATCTTGAAATGGTAAACCTTCTCAGAAACTTTTGACTGGTTTTACATGGCTATCAAATACTAGGAAAGATTTGGAGTAAATAAAAATTGCTGGGGAACTTCCCTATCTAGAAAAGCAACAAATAAGTTTTATTGGTTACAGAACTCTCTAAATGTCCATACTTCTAACATTTCCATCTCCTCTAAATTGTTTAAGTTCCAAATCTTGCCAGTCAACCATTAATTTATGCATATGAAGAATAATTAATGCCACTCTATAGATAGGCTTGTCACAGGGACAAAAAAACAGCATTAATCAAAAGAGGTGACTACTTTTACAGTGTAAATAAGTAACAGCAAAGGCAATTAT